GCCAAGTCGATCGCTCTTTGACCAACACTTTGACACGACTGGTTTTCACGAATTTGCTGCTGGTGTCGGCAAATTATATGGAACACTTTGAAATACGCAACAGAAGTGGCTAAGTAGCAAGATAGCAGATACACTCCCATAGCGGTGCCTACCTCTAGTTTAAAACTATCTTTGAAAAAATAAATACCCTGTAGAACAACGAAAGGAATTGGTACTACCAATGAGACCGCAGCGATGAGACATCCTCGGCGCGATGTTATTAAGGATCGCCGAGTCATGTGCAGCCAACGTTCAATAGACATAAGTGTTATAACAAGTATTGTTAGAGACACCAGATATGTTCCGCTTAGAATCCCAATTGCTGATTCAGTTGTATAAAGCGTATGGTTATACAAATAGGAAATCGACATGATACAGGTGGCAACTCCAGTACACAAGTCAGTAATCGCTAAAACACTCAAAAGAATATGAAAAGGTGTTCTCTGAAAGGACTTCTTCCAAATCGCTGTTAAAACTACTGCATTCCCCACTACTGCTACGGGAGAAAGAAGAGCTATGATCACATGACTTGCCACTAGAATGCTGTTCGGCCCTTCAGCACTTGCTCCAGTGCTCAAGGTGCTTGAGATATTGTTGTTGTTCAACATGACATATAATAGCGCGGTTCAGCCACTTTGAAAATTGTCTATGCCACGGGAATCATGGGCTTGAGAAGTTGATCGACGCAAGAAAATTCGTCAGCTAACTTCTAAAAGCGTAAACAAAAGAAGTCAGAAAATTTCTTTCTTACATTCAAAGGAACCAACTTTTGAACAGTTTGCGTAGGTCACCAATTCACCCCGCTCAAAGGCTTCCTTCAGAAGACGAAATATCAGTGCTTTAATAAAAGAAGAATGATTTTTCTTGGCATGGGATGTTATTCGTATTTATCTTCCTTCGATTCAACGTAGTAAGTTTTATGCTGGCCTACTGTGTACTAAGACGGAATTCCTTCTATTCAATTTGGCACCCGGTTTCCTCTTTTTTAGACACTTCCTATTGTTAACTACTGATTTTTTTTTTTGCGATATAAAAATGTTCATTATATTCCCAACAGATGATATTAATTATATACAGGAAAACATGACTGTTGTATGGACTCGACTCTTTCCAATCTTGTCCATTAAAAAGACAACAGAATAGACCCCTTGGTGATACAACTGATAGTATTCACGGCGATGGCACAAACCACGATGGATTATTAAAAGGTTTTTTCGTATTTTATAAGTTTTTTCATTGATTTCAAATGACCTGTTGGATATTTTTGCAATATTTTTCAAATACAATGTACTTGTAGAACGCTTTACCCGCTGTTCTGAGTTGAAATTATATTTATTCAGATTGGTATCTGGTTTCCTCTTTTTATGTACCCTTACTTTTGTTCACCGATGTTTTTCATGTTAAAAGTTAATATACTGTTTTACCAAGAGCTGACATTAAATTTTTCTTATTAGGAAAACATGACTGTCTCGGCTCTTTGGTCTTTCCAATTAAAAAAGTATACCTCGTGGTGAAATTGCATTGATAATGGTGAGGAGACAATAATATAAAAACAAACGAAACTTTATTATGTTTGCCACCCACTTGAAGTTGATTTTAGTTTTTAATTACTAAAACTTTCCACATACAATATTTATAGCTGTTTTTACTTTGAAATATTCGCATAGTGTACAAATTGAACAGTGAAGACAATACGCCAAACCCAACCAAGCAATGAAATTCGGGAGATAAAACTTTCACTTGTTGATTTTATTTACCTCCAGTCGTTCCTTTGCCGCCCAAACCACTCCTCCATGGTTCGCAATGCAAAGGACTTGCAGACATCAACCATTTCCTGCTTCACCCACAACACCCATCTTTTCGGGAATATTTACTACGCATCGCGAACAATATTTCAGGGATACCCAACTGTCTACAAATATCTATTCGACAAAGTAACTGTTGCATAGAAATTTCAATAACTCGCGAACCGACGCTAAAAATACAGTCGAATCTCTAAGTGCGACCACATCTCAGCATTCATGACAGCATTCTGTGATTCTCGGGAAAATGATGGAGAAGGCTAATAAATTCGCCCGTGGACACCAATTGAAAAGATAAACTTTATAGCGCTGCTGATCTGACCCTGGGGTTACTCCCTCATATGGCCTTTACGGGATGTGCCGCCGGACAGGGTATGGTTTTTGACTTCTCTGTCCTAAACACGGTATATAATTTCGTGCGAGACTGTCCTAATTATAAACAGGGTATTTTTGCCAGCACGATCGATTTGATCAGTGAGATGAAATTTGTTTGTAGCCCAAACATATACAAACGCTATGGCTTTAAAATAAGACAGCGTGCCTTTAACAGCGTATGTATTTTACGATTTTTTTGTCCTTAACAGGGACGGGGTTTCAAACCCTCAGCGGATCACCTATACTCAAATATTGATCGAGTACCTCCCCCCCCCCCGCGCGCGCCGGGTGCATAGAATACACTTGCAGAGCTTTTAAGGCACTTTGCCGTCCTGCGTAAGGGAATCCAAGACAGTGTTGGCTTCTGGGTTCCTGGTACTGTATCCCAGTCTTAGTGGAATTTAGATTCTGAATTCAATGGTTGGTGGGATTCCGGGTCCTTGAGCTGTATTCTGGATTCCAGATTCCGGTGCCCCCTTCATAACATGTTAAAAATTTCGTGTGTAATCGTTAATCGAAAACTGGACAGCTTTTTAATTGATTATGCACGACATGTAAACTGAAAGAGTTGCTCTGGGCGAATACAAATAATTACTCTGAATTACACTTTGCTATAAAAACAAGACTAATAATTTGCGGTTGGTTTTCTTCTTTCTGCTGTACGGCTTTTTAGCATATTGCTGGAAAGCCTATGGCACCTTGTGTTCTCTTAATTACATTTTATAAAAAGCTGTCTACCACCGCTATGCTTGGGAGAAAATATAATGGCATTCAAGAAAACATTTATTAGTTTTTCCTTGGCTAACATCCATTCCAGCTGAGAGACTGAAGCACTGCTTTATTTACCAGAAGCAGTGACACCTGGTCGGTAGTATTTTTCAACTGGACGGCTTGAATGATTATTTGACGAACCAACGTTCACTGTTAACGAAAGGCAAATAGAGTTTGTCAAAATCAATTGTGTGATAGAGACAGTTGGAAATAAAAATAGCTATTTACAGACATAAGATAGATAAACACGGGGTATTTTGTCAGGCTTGCACCCGTTCAAAACAAAATTCCTAATCACAAAGGGCCCACCAAACTGAAAAAGGCTTAAAGAAGCGTAAGGTTTGCAGCACCATGTACTTAGTAGAGAATTTTGAAGAGCTGTATCTGTCATACTTTGCTAACTGCGTTTTTAATGCCATCTTGTCCTACGCTGCCATAATGTTGAACATTGTAACAATACAAGCGTTAAGAAAAACGGCGTCTTTGCCGACGGTTCTCAGAACATTACTTCTCAATCTGGCAGTTTCCGACCTGGGCGTTGGAGCACTGGTACAGCCTTTGTACGTAGCATTTGTTGCCGTGAGAATGAAGGACAATTATAATAATTACGATTTTGAGGGTATCAACAAAGCATTTGGCATTCTGGCGAATTTCTTCGGTTATGCTTCGTTTTACGGTGTCACTGTTCTCAGTGCCGACAGATTCTTGGCTATTCACCTACATCTCAGATACAGAGAACTTGTCACTCCGAAGCGAGTTATCGCCGTAGTGGTCGCAATGTGGATTGTCAGTGGATTTTCATCTCTTCTCGCTCTCAGACGGTGGTCCTGGGATACTGCTATGATTATTTTTGTAGTAAACGGTGCTGTCTGTCTAACAGCTACAACTTTTTTTCACTACAAAATACTCGCAGAAGTACGAAGGCATTCACATCAAATACATCGCCTGCAAGTCGCAGAGAACGGAAAAATATTGACCAGAGCCTTGAAAATAAGAAAGTACGCAGTTGGCACGTTCTACGTGTATCTTGTTCTTTTGGTGTGTTATTTTCCACAGATTTGTGTCTTTTCTGTTGAGTTAGCCACTGGAAATAGTGCCTTGGCAAATCACGTCTCGCTTTACACTCTAACGATGATCTTGCTTAATTCAACACTAAATCCTCTGATTTACTGTTGGAAGATGAGACACGTTCGACATGCAGTCATGAGTATGCTGCTGAATATTTGTCGAAGCCGAAGTGTTTTGGTATTGTTTAGTTAAAATGACGATAATAATAATTTTTGTTTCCCTTACACATTTTTTTGTCTGTTTAGTTTTTTTTCATCGTATTTTTTCACCTTGGCTTTTCACTGCTAACCCTTCACAGCTTCGAGGAGAATGACTAGGACGAGGACTGCAAGATAGTCAAGATTTTCGCGTATTCTCAAAAAATAGACACCCCGGAAAGCTTCATTTTACTTTTCCTTCAACAGAAAAGTTGACGGGGTTATTTCTAATGAAGAAGGTTCAGCCCTCTCCCAATCACCAATTGATTACATTTTTAGTAATATTTTATGACTTGTTTTCGTCACCACGGCAATTTTGCTAAAGGCCGTAGAAGACTGACGACGGCTATCGCATTTTCCCGCCACAATGACGCGGGTTCCTGCGCGCGCACTACTTAGTATTGAGAAAATGCGGTTCTCAAAGTTGTCTTCGTTTGTGAATCTAAAAGTGTCTAATGACAAGAATAACAAAGTCAGTAAAACTGCCACAAGCTGCTGCTGTTACTACAACTAAGGACGAGGCGGATAACACCCTCCTAGATCTTTATAATTCTTCAGATCATACGAAAGCCCAATCCAATAACAGTGCTATTACCATGGATAATAGAAAGACTGGCAGTCTTTCTATTATCCATGTTATTACTTACTCCAAAATAACCCATACTTTAAAACATGCTTACCTGGATTAATGTTAAATTCCCGCCTTCGTTAACCTGTTCCTCTGCACATTCAGAGTATATAGGAATGTTTAGGCTAGCAGATACCTTTCAAATAGCAGTTGTCATCAGTTGAGTTATATTCCTGCTGTTCTTGCAATGTTTTAGGTTCGGCTATTTCTTCACCGCAAAACGTGTGATATGTTCTTCCATTTTCTCCATCTCCGCCAAAACAACTGGGCTAACGCAACGTCGTCCCCAGTACTTCGCGGTTCCCCTTCCTTTTTTGGCGATGGTCTATACGTTTGACGTCACTTCACCGGAAATCCCAAAGGTTTTCCAAATTAGGTCAACTCAAGCTGCCCGGGGTATTGAAGCCAATCACAAACGGGAAAATGTTTTGAATGAATAATAACAGTTCTGTAGTTAACTGGAGATTCACGTCATAAGACAAAAACGACATTAAAAACATAGTAAGTGTTTTATTATCAGCACAACTTATTTAGATATTAACATAAAACTAGAGAATAAATTATGAAATGTAATCAGCTAACAGTTGAAGAAAACCACGATTGTTGTTCAGTACACGAGACTTTGCTACAAAATGAACTAAGAATGGCACTTAGTAGTCTCTTATAGAATCTCGTGGAGGGAAAAACAATACAATAATAATAAAATGTGGTGGTGGTGGAGGGAAAACTATAGAAATGTGGTGGCGGTGGTGGTGGTGGTGGAGGAAAACAATGGAAACGTGGTGGCGGTGGTGGTGGTGGAGGGAAAACAATAGAAATGTGGTGGTGGTGGAGGGAAAACTATAGAAATGTGGTGGCGGTGGTGGTGGTGGGGGGGAAACAATAGAAATGTGGTGGTGGTGGTCTTGGGAGAGGAAAACAATAGAATTTTATGGCCTGAAAACCTATATAAATGCGCAACATTCTACCTCTTTCTCAGTCTACATTTTGCTCCTGAGGAGTTGACATGAGTTGGTTCTGTTCTGTCTGCGAAAAATCCTTTAGTATAAAAGATAATATGCAAAGGCACGTGATGTCTAAACACCACAATGCTGGTCTCACCCCATTTCAAACAGTTCCAATGTTTTCGTAGAAATGTCAGCGGTTTCGCTTCGAGCATCCTTTCACCTCCATGATTGCCGGAATGACCGGGTCCGGAAAAACGGCCTGGGTTCGATCTCTATTACAACAAGCTTCAGAGACCATTTACCCTCCCCCGGAGAGGATCGTTTGGTGTTATTCACAATAGTAGCCTGCGTATACACAAATGTTAGTCGCCATGCCACACATTGAATTCGTCAAGGGAATTCCTACGACTTTGGAGCAGGATTCTTATTTTGATGTGAACAAACGGAATTTGATCGTATTTGATGATCAGACGATTGACGCCAGTAAAGACAAGCGAATTGTGAACCTCGTCACTCGTGGTTCTCATCATCGCAATCTGCGCGTGATTTATATCGTGCAGAATCTATTTCATCAGGGGAAAGGTAGCCGCAGCATAAGCCTAAACAGCCATAATCTGGTGTTATTCAAGAATCCTCGAGACAAATTGCAAATCTTGACTCTGGCGAAGCAAATGTGTCCTGGGTAGACGGATTTCTTTTTAAATCAATACGAAGAGGCTGTAAAAAGACCTTTTGGTTATCTTTTGATTGATCTGAAAAGTACTACCCAACTGTCGGTTGCGAACAAACGTCCTGCCCAGTGAAGAAGGCTTTAACCAAGCAGGGTTTCAAGAAAATATTCATCAAGAGCTTCTAAAATATCTGAAGCAGCAAACTCTTTCGCCTGTCCCGCTTCTTCCAGCTATGCAAGAAATACAAGGCAACATGGATGACGTGCTTTCTCGAAACGATCTTCGGGACTATGAAAAAACTAAACGATACTCTCAGTTGCAAAACAGATACCTGGCTTTTAAAGAACAATTAAATACAAGAACACGACCGGAAGAAATAATCAGCACTGTTCCAGACTTAACATCAAGGACACAAGATTCTTCGACAGCAACGACAGCATTCTCCACTCCCCTCAGCACCTTTAATGTAACACCTGAATTAACACAAGCGGCTATCTCTCAAAAACCTGACCAAGACCCTGTTTACATGGAGTGGTGGACCCCAGTCTAGTGGGGTAGGTTTCTTTTGTTTTGTGTCCTCCAGAGCGTGAAAAAGCCTCACTCCTCCACCACCCTTAAATCCTGCTTTCCTGACGCCTCCTCCCACAGTAGAAACCCCATCACAACAATTCCCGAAGCGCAAAAGGCATCGGATTCAATTTGTAAATAATTTGGATGATCATAAAGCTCATGCCAAACAGCTGAGAAAACGTCTGCATCAGAAACTCGAACCTTACAAGTACTCCATGGGCGAAGAAGATGAAGATCAATTAATTTCCATTCCTTACAAATCGCTGTGTATTTGACTCTTTTTGTCATTGTTTTTAATAAAGTTTTTAAAACGGTATCTCTCTTGTGGTTTTATTGCTAGCAATTATGACTTACCATCACGCACGGGCAGTTTGCTGTTGGGGATAATGAGGAGAATAAGACGATTGTCATATTTGTTTTCATCTTTATTCCCAAGCGGTAAACTTGCCGTGCGAATGTGATGGCAAGTCTAAAAAGCTTGAATAAATTACCAAATACAAGGGTTTTCATTGCAGCTGAAAAATGGATGGTTAGAAGTACTGGAGTTGGTGGCCTCACTTCTCTTCAAAACGGGAACCCGCGACGCTTAAAACTCTTGAGAGTTTTTCTTAGAAGCTATATTTTGCTTTGTTAAGATTTGTGTCCAAAAGAGAGGGACAAATACAAAGTAAGTTTGATGAATAGAAGTTCTTTAATATCACCGTGCACTCAGCTTAAAATTGTTCTTCTTTAAGTGCTAACTGTATTCGCCGTAAGTTTCTGATTACTCTGTTTCTTGCAATAAAGCTTTAGGTAGAAATATCCTTTCAGATAGGAGATAGTCTCTCGGCAGTCTTCCTCTATTCGTGCGTCAACTTTCACACTGTCACGATTACCTTCAAACTTGCTGATGTAAACCTAGAGAGCTCTGACGCTTATTTCCTGAAGTTAGGGAAACATCTGTCGTGGGATTTCGAAGTTATTTACATTTTTCGCAAAAATGCGGTTTTAAATATATGCCGATATCTCAAATGTTTTTATACCTACAAGAAAACAAATAACATTTTCTTAAAGTTCCATCATTATTTATTTGGTGTGCCGAAAATCATTGAAATCGGAGGAATCTTTCATTCCGAAAAACGCAAATAAAAAACATAACTAACACGCATATAAATAGGTTCGGTCCCGCCTTAAGTTATTAATTGTTTATATACTAATACGTCAAGGTTCTCTCTTGGGGTTTTTCCTGTAGAGCTAATTTGTATTCAACTTTGGGCTCGCGAACTCGCATAATTAACTGATTAACGGTGCGTGAAATTACAAGACTTTATTTGTTTTTCATTTCCTCGAGATAGAAAGGAGAAAACGCCAGACAAAATTGAAATAGACAGTTTTCATCTCCACTTTTGTGTATATGTGTTTTGTTTATATACATCCGAGTTTTAGAGCTAAATAAGAAGACATAAACTAAATTGAAATAAAGACTTTTCAACTCCACTTTGTGTATGTGTTTTGTTTATATATCTGAGTTTAAGCGCTAAATAAGATATAGAAAGCCAATTCTGGCGTTGCTAGGTGAACGCTTCTCCTATTCCTATTTTTGCCTTTTAATGGACGTTCAAACCAGGCTCAAGTTATTTAACGGGCAAGCCTAGGCAAGCTTATTGTTTCTATTGAATAAGGGAGACGCTCATTAGTAAACCTATACCGAGTTAGTATGCGGGAAGGCATGTCAATATAAATGATTTACCTATACCTATACCGAATTAGTATGCAGGAAGGTATGTGAATAAATGATTTACCTATATCTATACGTGTACCTATACACCAACGGGGCTTATCTTTGCTGAAGCATGACTACTAGCGACCGCGACCACTTTTTAGGATGACGGTTTTATCTGAGTTTTCCAATGTTTTTAACCTCTTGTAAGCGACCACTTCACGCATGGTCTAAACTCTTTGTTCGGTGTATGTACTACGCTACAAACAGCATCCGAAGACACTTATCGTAACTTAGAAATTGCATGCAACATGTAAGCATGTAAGCGACCACCTTCAGTAGGTGACTTCCGTGAGGCTCGATGAACCCAATTTGAGGATAGCGTTCAACAACAATTCTGCCCGTCGATACTAGTAGTTATATCTAGTGGGATCCGTTTGTGCAACAACACAACTTTTTGACTCCATCACGAACATCTTTCATTCTCCAAATATAAAGGCCAGGATTGAGACAGGATGCTGAAAGTAAGATCACCAAAGATACGTGATATGGCCCCCAACTTTCTTCTTTCTTACCCAAAAGAACAAGGAGGAAAAGCGAAACAATGAAAGGTAAAATGCACAAAGAAAACAAAGCAAGAATGTAAAAGATTGAAAAGATCGATTTCTTATACTTTGCCAAGTCGATCGCCGGTTGACCAAAATTTTGACGAGACTGATTCGTATGAATTTGTTGCTGGTGCTGTCGAATAATACGGAACACTTTGAAATACGCAACAGAGGTGGCCAAGTAACACGATAGCGCATAAGCACCCATCGAAGCATTTGTTTCTAGTTTCATTTTCTTCGTGCTGAGGTTCAATGCCTGTAAAGTAACCAAAGGAACTGGCGCTAGGAATGGGAGGACAACAAAACAATATCCACGGTGTGATGTGAGTAAGGATCGGTGAGTCATGTGCAGCCATCGTTCAACGGACAGAAGTGTTATAACAAGTATAGTAAGACATAACAGATATGTACTAATGAGAATGCCAGGCATGGAGACTCCAAACTCATGGTTCAGCAAATAGGGAATGGACATAAGAGGGCTGGCAACACCAGTCAACAAGTCCGTAAACGCCAAAACACTCAAAAGAATGTGAAATGTTGTCCTCTGAAAGGACTTTCTCCAAATGGCCGTCAAAACCAGTGCATTTCCTACCACTGCTACTGGCGCAAGTACAACGATGATCAC